TCTGCCGGCCGTTCCTTCCGCAGCCGCTCCAATTAACATCCTTCCCTCTCTCTCTTATACTCTTGTCAGAAAATAATTATTTCAAAGGCTTCTGCTCCACTGTGAAACTTTCTGAAATTAGCTGGTGCATTCAAAAATGGTGAGCAGGAGGCTGAGCAGGCAACGTGATCGTACAGTCCTCGTTTCCATAGAAATGAGGCCAGAAATGTTTCTGTCTAGGTCGGTGGGATGAAGTCACGTTCTCTACCTTTCTTCTCCCCACCCCACCAGGCTCCAACTCGCAGCTGTCCTTCAGCATCGCGTCCGGGGACAGCGCGGGGCAGTTCAGCATCGACAACAGCGGGGTGCTGAGCATCAGGCAGCCTTTGGACCGGGAAAGCCAGTCTTTCTACAGCCTCGTCGTGCAAGTCCATGACATGGCCCCCCTCCCAGCCTCCAGGTACACAAGCACAGCCCAAGTTTCCATTATTCTGCTGGATGTGAACGACAGCCCGCCGAGCTTTATCTCCCCAAAGCTGACCTACGTCCCAGAAAACACGCCTATCGACACGATTGTGTTCAAAGCGCAAGCGACTGATCCCGACAGCGGTCCGAACAGCTACATCGAATACAGTCTGCTCCGGTCTCTGGGAAACAAATTCAGCATCGGCACTATTGACGGTGAAGTGAGGCTTACCGGGGAGCTCGACAGAGAAGCCGTGTCCAACTACACCTTGACTGTGGTAGCCACAGACAAGGGCCAGCCATCCCTTTCGTCATCTACGGATGTGGTGGTTATAGTCCTGGACATTAATGACAATAACCCGCTTTTTGCCCAAAAGCTTTATAAAGTAGAGGTGGGGGAAAATACTTTGACAGGCACGGATTTAATCCAGGTGTTTGCTACGGATGGAGACGAAGGTACAAACGGCCAGGTCCGCTATGCCATCGTGAGCGGAGATGCCAATAATGAGTTTCGGATCGATTCTGTGACGGGAGTGATAACAGTTGCCAAGCCTTTGGACAGAGAGAAAAAGCCCTCCTATACATTGACTGTTCAGTCGGCCGACCGTGGGAGCAGCCCGAGAACTGATACCACAACAGTCAGTATTATTCTGAAGGATGTCAATGACTATATTCCCACATTTGAACTTTCACCCTACTCTGTGAATGTCCCTGAGAATTTAGAGACGCTCCCGAAGGTTATTCTTCAGGTGAGTATATTCAGCGAATAAATATGTATCTCCTACAATTACTAGCACGCCTCAGTATGTGGTATTGATATATAGTGTCATTCCTCCAAAATTAAAAAGGTGCAAGACAATTTTTAAAAGTTGCCTCTCGGCTGTAACCTAACATGCAGTGGTTGTTGGCTTATTTTCCTTTTTATTTGTTTGGGTGGGTTGGGTTTTTTTGCTTGCCTTTTTTTTTACCAAAAGTTTATATTATACTTTGGAGTTTAGTTTTTGTTTTCCCTACCTATCTTCCCACCTACACTGGGACTTTAAGAGCTTGCTCTATCTCTCATCTCAGTCTTTATTTTCATGCAACAAATCTCTCAGTCTGATCGTTGCCTCCATGGGATGAGGCTCTGTGCCAAACGTTGCAAGAGCACTAAATGGATTCAGCCGGCAGGACGTGCAATGCTTGCTTTGGTACAGAGCTCAGCCTATGCCAGATCATCTCTGGTTTTCAGCGAGCCCCAACACAATCTTTACTGTATTTCTGCTTGAGAAAAGTAAGCAATCAACTATTTAATATTTCCAAACTATGCTTTTAAGTCCATCACCGCTGTGGTAAGTCATTTTTACAATTACAGCTAATTTATACTAGCCCTGAAAGCATTTGGATTAATTCAATCCGTTAATTTGGATTATTCTCTATGACAATATTTCCTCTACGCCAGTAAAATTTTACAGACCCTGCGCTCATCAGTTCCTGATATTTCTTCCCGCGTGTTTGCAATGCTTTTGTAGGTTGTAGCAAGGGACGATGATCAAGGCCTAAACAGCAAGCTTACTTATGTTCTGGTGGCTGGAAACGAAGAAGGAGCCTTTACGCTCTCGGCCAGCGGAGAGCTGCGCTTGGTGCAGAGCCTGGACCGGGAGGCAAAGGAGCAGTACGTACTACTGATCACAGCTGCTGATGCAGGTAAAGCAAACGGGCAGTCTCTGCTGGTGAAAACTCGTCCTCGCTTGAAAACATTGCGTTCTGGATAGAAAAGAAAGATTTTTATGATGGTCTGAAACTTTAGTGGATGGGGATTGGTACCCTAGCTTCAGGTTAGAGCTCTCTGGGGAGAGCTGGGCTTACCTGATGTCAAAGGGAGCTCAAATTTTATCCTTATGTCTAGTTGTCTAGTGTTAGTACTCACTGCAGATTTAGGGAGGTTGATTTTTGCCCTGTAGTAGTAAATGGTCCTACATAGGTCATAAGAGCCTGATGCATGGCAGTAAAACCCCAATATAAATGGCAATAAAACCCAACATAATGTCAGAAATGTGCAGACAGGTCAAATCGATGGCCAGAAAACAGCTATGCACTGCTCAGTTAATCTTACCAAAATCTTACCCCTGAAAAGTAATGGAAATTTACATTTCCACATTTGAATTTTCTGCTTTGCTCAGCATCCAGTCATAGGTTTTCTTCAGCAAATTCCCTCAGTTTAAAACAGGACGTGAATTCTTGTAATGAAGATTAATTACACTTTCACTTGAGGTGTCTGAGCACAAAATTTTGGTTTCAGATTTTGGTATGAATATTAGTAACAAAGACATCCTGCACCATATTCTGGACTGATCTCTGATCCCTCCATGGTCTGATGGATTTAATTTACTGCAGAATTGTTTCTGCTTTCTAATAATAAAAATAGAAGCAAAGCCAACTTGTTGACAAGTGGATACAATTTTGTTTGCTGCCATATTGTGTGCAGTATCTTGTGTCGCTGACAATATCTATGGCTTATATTTTCCTATTGCAGCAGTGCTCAGGTATTTCACAGTCTGAGCACAGCTGAAGCCGCGAAACACAATTTTAGGACTTGACGTACCATTTGTCTTGTACTTTGGCTAGAGATACTCTATGCTTTGTATTTTTTACGCTGGCTTTCCATTACTCTGTGGCTGCAAATTGCTCACTTGTGACTTGGACTTGCTTGGGCTTGAACGTCCTCATGTTCCTTCAGAAGCTGAGGCTGGTCATGTAAGGGAAAGCAGATCCTTGACGTGTGTTTACTTTCCCTGTCCAAGTTGGCAGGAGTCAGTTAGGGTTGTACAGAACCTATTAGCTCTACATACAAAATACCCAAAGGCTGAACTGATAAGGGGTATCACACAGCCAACAATTATTGTCCTCCTTGGAAAAAGGAGAGGAGCAGGAAGTCGGTTGTACCCTGCGCCTCGCACCGTGTGTAAGCCAAATGTTTGACAAGCGCACAACCTTCTCCTAGACTCTGGTTCGTAAAAAATATGAAATCCAGGAGATTTACCCAACCATTCCGAATGAAAATATTTATTTGCACTGGGAGATGTCTGAGTTTCAGATAATCCAGGGGGGGCTTTAATACCTGAAGTATGCATGGGGCCTTTGCCGTAAGTGGCTGACAAAACCAGCAGCACGTTTCGTTGGTTCCCATGTTTAAACATACAGATATTATGCTGATTAAACACTCAAGCTCTTTTGTTTGTGGGGTTTTTTAATTTGCTGTGTTCTCGTAAAGGTAACTAACAAGTTATTCTTCCCTCCTATCTGTGTTAAAAGGTACTAGCAAAAGTGTTCAGAAGCAGATGTTCAGCAGCAACTTTAAGCTAAATTTAACTGTTCTTCTGTGTTTAAGTTTACAATCTGACTAATGCACAGATAGTGTGATTTGGTGTAGTTTTCAACCAGCCTCATGAATAACATTAGATAATAACTTCTGATTAGACTGGAGACTTGCTCTAAATTCTTACCATCAAAGTATACATTTGAAACTGTTAGTAATGATTTATCTAAACTAAAACATCACAGGAAAATGTCCAGCTTCTGTAGAAGTCAATGCCAAAACTTTACTTGATTTCATGGAAGCAGGATGTGGACTGTAGTCATAATAGATACTTAATAACATATTTAAAGTACTTTAATTCTAGGAGATCCCTGTTATGCTTGAATTAGTCATACTGACTTCAAGCAGTCTAGATGGTAAAGAACGCTGGCATATGATTCGTTGGAGACCTCTTAAAAAGCCATGTTTGTCACAATAATGTGCAACAAACGGACCGAGTTGCAGACTCTGGGATTTCTGTTGAGCTACATCTCAAATTTTGTATTACTATAAATTACATTATCGTACACAGAACGCACATGTACTTCTCTAGACACTTGGCAGCTGAGTTAGAAAAATATTATGTGGGAGGAAGCCTTTCTAAAAGAGTTGCAGCTTATCAGAAGAGGAATGTTATTACTTTAAACTATACAAAACAGTACAAAAGCTACCAGTATGAGTGTGTGATGGATATCCAGGTGGTAACACACTGACCTTTGGTAGTGGTGGTTCCCTGCTTCATTAAATCAGGTAGTTCTGGCTGTACTAGCAGAAAAATGGCAACGACAGAATCTTGAAATGCGTAAGAAAAGTGGTTTGAATATTATGCTCTTGAGCAGCTGCTAAAGGTTTATAAAAGAAATTCTCACTGACACATCCAGCTCTTTGCCTACTGCAGCTGTTTCTTTGGAGTGTCTTAGTTTGTAATTGTTTGGTAACGCTTACAAAGGAGGATTTTGCAAAGAGACAATTCAACCAGAAACACACACACAAACCAGGTAGTGCTCCTCTGTAGGAAAGCGGTGCCTGCCAAAATGTTGAAGAAAGCAAACTTGTCTGAAATTATCCACATCCGTATTATCTTTGAAAGTAAATCAAGGGAGAGGTATTATACTCTGCACTTTGAGTTTGGCTTTTGTTAGCTGCAATTAAACAGTCTTTTGGATTGTCTTTAGCAACCCAAACAACAGTCTTGCCATATATGGTGCATCTTCTTTAGTTTGTTTTGTGGGGTTTTTTTTTTACAGATTAAAAATCATGGTAGACATCCAGACACAGTTAAGTCTGGAAATGTCTGGGTAGCACATGAAGGGCAGATTTCTGTCTGTCCAACCCACTTCCCATTTTTCTTAGGATCTGCATCTCAATTTTTATAGGCTATGTTGACTGGTTTAAAACATTAAAGGACGATATCCTGCTCCTATTGAAGTCTATGCCAACTCTTCCCTTTCTTTCAAGGAAACAGACACCATACGTCCTTAGAAGCACCTTCAGACATAAGAACGGATGGATTCTCAACTTGGTTTTGGCTGTCTTCCCAATCTCCCTATGTATAATCAAGGATTTCTTACTTTTCTTACGTTTATTTTCACTTTGTCAACTTGTGACTGTGGTTCTTGCAGTGTTACCCTAGCCTGTGTACGGGGAAGTTGATGGAAGAAGAAGGATTTTTAATTTTTCATTATTTTCATCTAGAGGTGTCAGTGCAACGTACGTGAAAGCAATCCGTGACCTCAGAAGGGGCAGCCGCTTTGGTAATGGCTGTTATTTCATCCTCGGTACCTTATGGGTTTTATACCATGTTATTGGGAGCACGTACACTGAGTCTACTTGTAGCAGGTGAAGGATTAGGACATCGTGAAGCAGCAGCCCGCATACGTGGAGCGTTGAGCTGGCAAGGCTGCACAGGATGCACCAGTGATGGAAATTCGGGCAATTGTTGAAAAAATGCTTTCCTAAGCAAGGGCTCCCTGCAAGCCCAGAGAAATCAGTCGTGATATATGCATCGTCCTGGCTCTGGCCCAGCTATTCCTTGGCCTTGCCTGCTAATCCTCCACCCAGTCCTCAGGGTAGATCGTGGGTCGGCAAAGAGTCTTCCCTCCGCTCTGGGGGAGGGAAAAGACCGATGAAATGTTTTCTGGTGCTTGGCTCAGTGATTTGTGGCCATGCAGCCTGCTTCATGCCCAGTTTCCACAAGCCAGTCTGCACAAAGGCTCTTGATTTCAGCCGTGTTGTATCATCACTCTTCCCTCACTCCTGCACTTCCACCCTGCTCTGAGTTCTGGGTCTCAGATCCCAGACTGCCGCTCTGGGCGGTGGGGGTTTACAAAGACACGCAAAGCGTCCATCGCTAGGAGCATTCAGCATCTTCCAGAGGGGTACACCTGTGGCTTTGGTTGAGAAATAAAACATAATTCAACTCCAAAGTTTACCCATCCCAATTTAGAGCCTCTCTTGCAGCACAAGCTGTAAGACCAGAGTGCGTGAATTATAAATATAATGACAGGCGAAATGATGGACTGTGGAATAACATGATAGTGTTTAGATTGCAGATGCTCCCCTAAAATGTCTGCTAACATAAACGCCAAGAAACCTACATGCAACTATTTGAATGTGTCTTTATGGGTCTGTTTCTACCATATAAATCATTTGTTTTGCTTCTCTATGCCCTTCTTCATGGCAAAATGGTTGGGAAAAGAGACTTTCTAAATGTTTTTTCACCCCATCTGGTGGGGACGCAGCGCTGGGTAAACATTCAGTTCTGGCACCATGACAAGAACTGGTGCAGCCACTTTTATCATCCCTGTCTTTAACTCTTTGAGCAATTTTTCTGGAGCAAATGTTAGCATTCCAACAGTCCTCTTCCTTTTATTTATTGATTGCAGGGATGTCGAGTAGCACATCTGGAAACCTGCTAGCTGCCCAGGACTACTGTTTAAATAAACTGCAACCACCATCTCTTCATTTGGTTGGTCAGAGTGGCACATTGCCACAATAAAAACAAGATCAAAATGTGATGTTTCTAATTAGAAGCTGTGTTCCTGTGGGGTTTTTTTTTTTAGATTTTTTCAAAATAATCTATTTACTGATTTAGATAAATAGTTCTGAAAGAAATGAATCAGTGGACCGATTATTATATTTAGTTAGCTGTTCTTTGTGTACGTCCCTGGCCTGTATGAAAAACAACCATATGTTTTTTCTTTAGAAAATATTGGCCCCCGACTTATACATTCTTTCCTTCAAGAATGCAGGAGGGCAACCAAGCAAGAGAGGTTACGTCCTCCTCAGGAATTCTCTTCTGAGATAGGCTTTTGCTTCCCTTCAATCCTAATATCAAATGAAATCTGAC